TTGTAAACACTTCTGTCTCGTAGCATTGAACTCGTTTTAAAATAATCCTCTCACTTTTCCTTTTCAGTTCTACTCCATTTCTTTTTTAAATGAAACACATTTCTTTTTGTTTTCGCTTTTCTTCAATTTTATTTTCGCTTTCATTTCCGTTCCCTACACTTTTTTGTGCTCTTGTACATTTTACTTTTCGAACTTAACATTAATCATGTAATCCACGTCAATTTAATGCTCTCTCTCTATATATATATCATACTCTCTCTTTCTCATTCTCTATCACCTTCTCTCTCTCACACTCTCTGTCTGACTCACCCAATATCCCATCTCTCTTTTACTCTCTATCTCATTTCTCTCTCTCTCTCTCACACTCTCTGTCTGACTCACCCAATATCCCATCTCTCTTTTACTCTCTATCTCATTTCTCTCTCTCTCTCTCTCTGTCTGACTCACCCAATATCCCATCTCTTCTCTCCCTCTCTCATTCTTTCTCTCTCATCTTTCTCTGTCTCTTTCACTCCTGTCTATCTCATTTCTCTCTCTCTCTCTCACCTCTCTCTCTTTCTCTCCTCTCTCTCTATCCCATCTCTCTTTTTACTCTCTATCTCATTTTCTCTCTCTCTCACACTCTCTGTCTGACTCACCCAATATCCCATCTCTCTTTTCCTCTCTCTCTATCTCATTTCTCTCTCCTCTCTATGTCTCTCATTCTGACTCACTCAATATCCCTCTCTCTTTCTTTACTCTCTATCTCATTTCTTTCTCTCTCTCTCACACTCTCTGTCTATCTCACCTTTATCTCTCCCTCTTTCTCTCTATCTCATTTCTCTCTCTCTCTCTCTCTCTCTATCTCATTTTCTCTCCATCTCTCTTCTCTCTCTATTTTTCATTCTCTCTCTCTCTCTTTCTCTCTGTCTGACTCACCCAATATCCCATCTCTCTTCCCTCTCTATTCATTTCTCATTTTCTCTCTCCCCTCTCTGTCTATCTCTCTCATTTTCCCCTCTCTTTTCTCTCTATCTCATTTCTCTCTTCTCTCTCTCTATGTCTATCTCTTTTCTCTCTATCTCATTTCTCTATCTCTCTCTCATCTCTGTCCTCTCACCCAATATCCCTCTCTCTTTCTCTCTCTATCTCATTTTCTATCCCTCTCTATCTCTCTCTCATTTCTCCCTCTCATGTCTCTCCTCTCTTCTCATTCTCTCTATCTCTCTCTCATTTTCTCTGTCCCTCACCCAATATCCATCTCTCTTTTCTCTTTTCTCTCTATCTCTCTCTCTTTCTCTCTGTCTCACTCTTTCTTCCCTCTCTATGTCTATCTCATTTTCTCTCTCCTCTCTATGTCTATCTCATTTCTCTCTCTCTCTATGTCTATCTCATTTTCTCTCTCCTCTCTATGTCTATCTCATTTTCTCTTCCCTCTCTATGTCTATCTCATTTTCTCTTCCCTCTCTATGTCTGACTCACCCAATATTCTCTCTTCCCTCTCTATCTCATTTCTCTCTCTCTCCCTCTCTATGTCTCATCTCATTTCTCTTCTCTTTTCTCTCTATCTCATTTCTTTCTCTCTTCCCTCTCTCTGACTCACCCAATATCCCATCTTTCTTTTCTCTCTATCTCATTTCTCTCTCTCTCTCATTTTCTCTTCTCTCTCCAATATCCATCTCTTTTTCTCTCTCTATCTCATTCTCTCTCTCTCTCTCTCTCTCTCTGTCTGACTTTCCCAATATCTCTCTCTCTTTACTCTCTATCTCATTTTCTCTCCCTCTCTATGTCTATCTCATTTTCTCTTCCCTCTCTATGTCTATCTCATTTTCTCTTCCCTCTCTATGTCTATCTCATTTTCTCTCTCCTCTCTATGTCTCTCTGTCTTTCTCACCCTCTCTATCCCATCTCTCTTTTCTCTCTATCTCATGTCTATCTTTTCTCTCTCTCCCTCTCTCTGTCTATCTCATTTATCCCATCTCTCTCTATGTCTATCTCATTTTTCTCTCTCTCTTTCTCTCTCTCTCTCACTCAATATTCTCTCTTTTACTCTCTCTCTCTCTATGTCTCTCTCATTTTCTTCCTCACGACTATCCCATCTCTCTTTTTCCTCTCTATCTCATTTTCTCTTCCCTCTCTATGTCTATCTCATTTTCTCTTCCCTCTCTATGTCTATCTCACTTTCTCTCCCTCTCTGTCTATCTCTTCTCTCTTTCTCTCTATCTCATTTCTCTCTCTTTCTCTCTGTCTGACTCTCAATATTTCTCTCTTTCTTTCTCTCTATCTCATTTCTCATTTCTCTTCATTCTTCTACTGTCTATCTCATTCTCTCTTCCCTCTCTATCTCTTTCTCTATCTTTCTCTTCACTCTCTCTGTCTATCTCATTTTCCCTTCTCTCTTTTCTCTCTATCTCATTTTCTCTCTCTCTCTCTTTCTCTGTCTCATTTTTCTATCCCATCTCTCTTTTACTCTCTATCTCATTTCTTTCTCTCTCTCATTCTCTGTCTGACTCAATATCCCATCTCTCTCTTTTACTCTCTATCTCATTTCTCTCTTCCCCTCTCTCTGTCTATCCATCTTTTTTTCTCTCTCTCTATCTCTCTCTCATTTTCTCTTCTTTCCCCAATATCCCATCTCTCTTCCCTCTTTTCTCTCTCTCTCTCTTCTCTCTCTGACTCTCATTTCTCTTCCCTTCTTCTCTGTCTATCTCATTTTCTCTCCCCTCTCTATGTCTATCTCATTTTTTCTCTCCTCTCTATGTCTATCTCATTTTCTCTTCCCTCTCTATGTCTATTCTCTTTCTTTCTCACATTCTCTGTCTATCAATATCCCATCTCTTTTTCTCTCTATCTCATTTCTCTCTCTCTCACATCTCTCTGTCTGACTCATTTTCTCCTCTCTCTTTTATCTCTATCTCATTTCTCTCTCTCTCTCTCTATGTCTGACTCATTATTTCTTCTCTTTCTATCTCTATCTCATTTCTCTTTCCTCTCTTCTTTCTCTGTCATCCCAATATCTCTCTCTTTTACTCTCTATCTCTTTCTCTATCTCTCTCTCATTCTCTGTCTCTTTTTCTCTCTCTCTCTCTCTCTATCTCATTTCTTTTCTCTCTCTCTCTTCTCAATTTCCCATCTCATGTCTTCTCTTTCTCTTTCTCTATCTCTCTCTCATTTTTCTCTCTCAATATCTCTATCTCTTTCTCTCTATCTTTTTCTCTCTCTCTCACACTCTCTGTCTGACTCACCCAATATCCCATCTCTCTTTTACTCTCTATCTCATTTCTCTATCTCTCTCTCACATTCTCTGTCTGACTCAACCAATATCCCATCTCTCTTTTACTCTCTATCTCATTTTTCTCTCTCTCTCTCTCACACTCTCTATCTCACCCAATATCTTTCTCTATCTCTATCTCTTTTTCTCTTCTCTCTCATTCTCTGTTTTCTTTCTTTCTCTCTTTTTCTCTCTTTCTCATTTCTCTCTCTCTCTCTCCTCTCTCTGTCTATCTCATTTTCTCTTATCCCATCTCTTTTTTACTCTCTATCTCATTTCTCTCTCTCTCTCTCTCTCTCTGTCTATCTCACCCAATCTCCATCTCTCTTTATCTCTATCTCTTTCTCTCTCTCTCTCTCTGTCTATCTCATTTCTTTCTCTTTTTTTCTCTCTATCTCATTTCTCTCTCTCTCTCTCTCTGTCTCTCAATTTTCTCTCTCCTCTCTATCTCATCTCTCTCTCTCTCTCTCTGTCTCTTCTCTCTCTATTTCTATCCATCTCTCTTCTCTCTCTATCTCATCTCTCTCTCTCTCTCTCTCTGTCTCCTCACCCAATATCTCATCTCTCTTCCCTCTCTCTATCTCATTTTCTCTTCTCTATCTCTCTCTCATTTCTCTGTTTCTCTCACCTATCAATTTCTCATCTCTCTCTATGTCTATCTCATTTCTCTCTCTCTCTCTATCTCTCTCTCTGTCTCTCTCTCTATCCCTCTCTCTTTTCTCTCTATCTCATTTCTTCTCTCTCCTCTCTCTGTATCTCATTTCTCTCTCTCTTTTACTGTCTATCATTCTCTTTCTCTCTCTCTCTCTCTGTCTGACTCTATCTCTCTCTTTTTCTCTATGTCTCATTCTCTCTCTTCTCCTCTCTCTCTATCTCATTTTTCTCTCTCTATCTCATTTCTCTATCTCTCTCTCTCTCTCTGTCTATCTCTTTTTCTCTATCCCTCTCTCTTTCTCTCTCTTTCTCATTTCTCTCTCTCTATGTCTATCTCATTTCTTTCTCTCTTTTACTCTCTATCTCATTTTCTTTCTCTCTCTCTCTCTATCTCAAAATTCTCTCTCTCTTTCTCTCTCTATCTCATTTTCTCTCCCTCTCTATGTCTATCTGTCTTTCTCTCCCTCTCAATATCCCATCTCATTTTTTTCTCTCTTTCTCTCTATTTCTCTCTCTCTTTCTCATTCTCTGTCTGACTCATCCCAATATCCCATCTCTCTTCTACTCTCTTTTTTCTCTCTATCTCTCTCTCATTTCTCTTCTCTCTCAATCTCTTCCATTTTCTCTCCCCCTCTGTCTATCTCATTTTCTCTCTCTCTCTCCTCTATGTCCATCTTTTCTATTTCTCTCTTTTTACTCTCTATCTCTTTTCTCTTCTCTCCTCTCTGTCTGATCTCATTTATTTCTTCTCTTATCTCTATCTCATTTTCTCTCTCTCTCTCATTCTCTGTCTGATCTCATTTTTTCCCATCTCCTCTCTATGTCTATCTCATTTTCTCTCTCTCTCTATTCTCTGTCTTTCTCTTCCCCTCTATCCCATCTTTCTTTTTCTCTCTTTCATTTCTCTCTCTCTCCCTCTCTATGTCTATCTCTTTCTCTCCCATCTCTCTTTCTCTATCTCATTTTTTCTCTCTCTCTATGTCTATCTCAACCAATATCTCCATGTCTCTCTTTTTACTCTCTATCTCATTTTCTCTCTCTCCTCTCATCTCTCTCTCATTTCTCTATCCTCTCTCTTTTATCTCATCTCATTTTCTCTTCTCCTCTCTATATCTATCTCATTTCTCTCTCTATCTCATTTTCTCTCTCTTTCTTCTCTCTATCCCATCTCTCTCTCTCTATCTCATTTTTCTCTTCTCTCTCTATGTCTCTCTCATTTTCTCTTTCTCTCTTTCTCTCATTTTCTCTCTCTCTCTCTCTCTGTCTATCTCATTTTTCTCTCTCTCTTTCTATCTCTATCTCATTTTCTCTCTCTTTCTCTCTGTCTGACTCTCTTTTCCATCTCTCTTCTTTCTATCTCATTCTTTCTCTCTCTCTCACATTCTCTGTCTATCTCAATTTCTCTCTCTCTTTTACTCTCTATCTCATTTCTCTCTCTCTCTCTCTCTGTCTATCTCATTTTTTCTCTCTCTTTTATCTCTATCTCATTTCTCTCTCTCCCTCTCTCTGTCTATCTCTCCCCTCTCTATTTTTCTCTATCTCATCTCTCTCTCTATCTCTATCTCCATTTCTCTTCCCTCTCTCTCTTTCTCTTTCTCTCTCTCCTCTTTCTATCTCACCCAATCTCATCTCTCTTTTATGTCTATCTCATTTCTCTCTCTCTCTCCTCTATCTCTTCTGACTTCTCTCTTTACTCTCTATCTCTCTCTCTCTATCTCATCTTTCTCTTTTCTCTCTGTCTATCTCATTTTCTCTCTCTCTCTATCTCATTTTCTTCCTCTCTCTCTCTTTCTCTCTCTCATTTCTCTGTCCTCTCACCCAATATCCCATTTCTCTCTCTTTCTCTTTTCTCTCTCTATGTCTCTCTTTCTTTATGTCTCTCTCTTTTCTCTCTCTCTCTCTATCTCTCTCTCATTTCTTTCTCTCTCAATATCCATCTCTCTTTCCCTCTCTATCTATCTCATCTTCTCTCTCTCTCTCTCTGTCTACTCTCAATTTTCTCTCTCTTTCTATCTCTATCTCATTTTCTCTCTCCTCTCTTTCTCTGTCTCACTTTTCTCCCTCTCTCTTTATCTCTCTATCTCATTTCTCTCTCTCTCCTCTCTCTCTGTCTCTGTCAATCTCCCATTTCTCCTCTCTATCTCATTTCTCTCTCTTTCTCTTCTCTCTCTGTCTCATTTCTCTCTCCTCTCTCTATCTCTATCTCATTTTCTTTCCCTCTCTATCTCTATCTCATTTCTCTCTCTCTCTCATTCTCTATCTCTCTTTTTCTCTCTCTCTATGTCTATCTCATTTCTCTTCTCTCTTTTCTCTCTATCTCATTTTTCTCTCTCCTCTCTGTCTGACTCATTTCTTTCTCTCTTTTTTCTCTATCTCTTTCTATCTCTCTCTGACTCTCTATGTCTATCTCTTTTCTTCTCTCTCTATCTCTATCTCATTTCTCTCTTTCTATGTCTCTCTCATTTTCTCTTTCTCTGTCTATCATTTTTCTCTCCTCTATGCTATCTCAATTTCTCTTCTCTGTCTCTCTATCTCATTTCTCTCTCTCTATGTTATCTCATTTTCTCTCCCCTCTCTATGTCTATCTCATTTTCTCTATCTCCTCTCTCTCTGTCTATCTCTCACCCAATATTTCCATGTCTTTCTCATTTTTTCCCTCTCTATCTCATTTTCTCTCTCTCCTCTCTTCTCTCAATATTTCTCTCTCTCTGTCTATCTCATTTTCTCTCTCTCTCTTTCTTCTCTTTCTCTTCCTCTTTTTCTCTCTCTCTTTCTATCTTTTTCTCTCATCTCTCTTTCTCTCATTCATTCTCTCCCCTCTCTATGTCTATCTCATTTTTTCTCTCTCCTCTGTCTTTCTATCTCTTTCTTTCCCCTCTCATGTCTATCTCATTTTTCTCTCCTCTCTATCTCTATCTCATTTCTCTCTCTCTTCATTCTCATTTCTCTCTCAATATCCATCTCTTTCTCTCTCTCTCATTTCTCTCTCTTTTTCTCTCTCCCTCTCTTTCTTTCATCCTTTATCCCATCTCTCTTTTCTCTCTTATCCTCTCTATGTCTATCTCATTTTCTCTTCCCTCTCTATGTCTATCTCATTTTCTCTCTCCTCTCTATCTCTCTTTTCTCTCTCTTCCCTCTCTCTCTCTTTCAATCTCACTTTCTTTCTCTCTCTATCTCATTTCTCTCTCTATTCTCTGTCTCTTTCTCTCTCTCTTCTATCTCATTTTTTCTCCTCTCTATCTCTATCTCACTTTTCTCTATCTCTCTCTCTTTTCTTTCTCTATCTTTCTCTCTCTCCTCATTTTCTCTCTGTCTCTCTATCTTCCCATCTCTCTATCTCTTTCTCTATCTCATTTTCTCTCTCTCTCCCAATCTATTATCTCTCTCTATTCCTCTCTATTTCATTTCTCTCTCTCTCTCCCATCTCTCTGTCTGACTCTCCCATTTCTCTTTCCTCTCTATCTATCTCTCTTTCTCTCTTTCTCTCTCTGACTTCTCAATATCTTTCTCTTTTACTCTCTTTTCTCTATCTCTCTCTATCTCTGTCTCTCAATATCCCATTCTCTTTTCCTCTCTATATCATTTCTCTCTTTCTCTTCCTCTCTCTGTCTTTCTCAATTTCTCTCCCTCTCTCTATTTCTCTTTCTTTTCTCTCTCTCTCTCTCTCTCTGTCTCACCCAATATCCCTCTCTCTCTCTATCTCATTTCTCTCTCTCTCTCTCCTCTCTATGTCTATCTCATTTTCTCTCTCTCTCTCTCTCTCTATCTCATTTCTCTCTCTCTCTCTATGTCTCTCTTCTTTTCTCATCTCTCTTTCTACTCTCTAATTTCTCTCTCTCTCTCTCATTTCTCTCTTTCTCTCCTCTATCTATCTCTTTCATTCTCTATCTCCTTTCTCTCTCTCCTCTCTCTGTCTCTCTTTCTCTCTTTCTATGTCTATCTCATTTCTCTCTCTCTCTCTATGTCTATCTCTCTTCAATTCCATCTCTCTCTCTTCTCTCATTTCTTCTCTCTCTCTCTGTCTGACTTTCTCTCATCTCTCTCTCTCTCTATCTCATTTCTCTCTCTCTCCTCTCTCTGTCTGCTTCATTTCTTTTCTCTCTTTATTTCTATCTCATTTTTTTCTCTCACACTCTCTGTCTAGCTCTCAATTTCTCTTCTCTCTTTTACTCTCTATCTCATTTCTCTCTCTCTCACTCTCTCTGTCTTTCTCACTCAATATCTCATCTCTCTTTTTCTCTCTCTCTCATTTCTCTCTCTCTCTCTCTCTCTCTCTATGTCAATTTCTCTTCTCTCTTTTTACTCTCTATCTCATTTCTCTTCTCTCTCATCACTCTCTTTCTCTCTCCCAATATCCATCTCTCTTTTCTCTCTATCTTTCTCTCTCTCTCTCTCTGTCTGTCTCACCTCAATATCCTCTCTCTTTCTTTCTCTCTATTTCATTTCTCTCTCTCTCTCTATCTCTCTGTCTCTCTCACCCAATATCCCATCTCTCTTTTCTCTCTCTCATTTCTCTCTCTCTTTCTCTCTGTCTTTCTATTTCATCTCTCTCCCTTTCTCTCTATCTCATTTCTCTCTCTCTCTCTCTCTCTGACTCTCTATCCATCTCTCTTTTTCTTCTATCTCTTTCTCTCTCTCTCTCACACTCTCTGTCTCTTTCTTTCTCATCTCTCTTTCTCTCTATCTCATTTCTCTCTTTTCTCTCTCCCATCTCTTTCTCTCTCTTTTCTCTCTTTTTTCTCTCTATCTCTTTCTCTATGTCTCTCTGTCTGACTTTTCTATCCCATCTCTCTTTTTTCTCTCTATCTCATTTCTCTCTCTCTCTCTTTTTCTCTCTGTCTGACTCACCCATTTATCCCATTCTCTTTTACTCTCTATCTCATTTCTCTCTCTCTCACACTCTCTGTCTGACTCACCCAATATCCCATCTCTCTTTTACTCTCTATCTCATTTCTCTCTCTCTCTCACACTCTCTGTCTGACTCACCCAATATCCCATCTCTCTTTTACTCTCTATCTCATTTCTCTCTCTCTCACACTCTCTGTCTGACTCACCCAATATCCCATCTCTCTTTTACTCTCTATCAGACGGGCGCTCGCATACGCGCAGACACACACTTACAAGGAAATGGCACCTTTCTTGAACCTTATGCGCGTTGCTTTCAACATGATTATGGATAATCTCTATCTAGTGGGATTATCCGTAACTGTTGAAATCTATCGTATTTTCTTTTTAGAAATATAGTATCTATACATCATGTTTAACTGTCTTAAGGTGACTGAGTTGTGAAATGAGATCTGATTTTTTTTTCTCGTCAACTGGCTATCAACCAAAACTAGGGAGCCTAATTTTACACGCTATTGAACCTGATCTGAAACAAGAGCAAAGGGTATCATCATGTAGTGGATGTAACGAACAGGGCCGGAATTCGAACTCAGCTCATCGATTTTTCATCCCGGGACGTTTACTAGTATATTAAAAGCATATCGAGGGTGAGTAAATAGAATAAAAAAAAAGTAGCATTACTCGTACCAATGAGCTAACATTTAGTCAGAAAATCTTCACTGCACGAGTGTGAAATCAAAACTTCTAAGCACTGACAACAAGACATTTCCAACCATTCTATGTAGTCAACTTCTATAAAATTGGTCAGTTAGGTTGAGAACTTTTCAGTGAGTACTAATATAGTACTCGAATTGTGCCATTAACAAAGATCTTGTTGAAATATAAATATTTATTATGCAAAATAAATATATTTTTTAGATTTCTTTTATACGTGTATATATAGAAGAAATTTTTGAGATTTAAATAATAATTCATCAAGTCTAGAAGAAGAATCCTCAACAGGACTCTGTGGACGTGTGTTTCGTGCAATTTGGGTTTCATCGTTAGGCGCACAACTGAGAATCGAACACGAGCCGACAAGAGACAGCGCAAGCGTCTTACCACTAGACCAACGGGTCTCGGTGACTTTGAAGGGACTGTCTAGACTCTATATAGCGCCTCTACTCTTTAAATTCCGCTGGTGGTACCCATCCAAGTATACATAACCCAAAGGATTGTGTTCCAAGAGCCACGTCTTCTTTCCCCATGCCTCTCACTCTAGGGCGTTAGAAGCTGGATCAAGCAAGGATATACAAGTGATAAAATTTTTTCGGGCATTCGAATAATCATTTATAGTAATTCATCAAGTCTAGGAGAATCCTCAACAAAATGCAGAAAGCACTGGATGGTCGTTTCGTCATATTTGGGACTCATCACGTGTCCGCATCCACTACCTAGAATCGAACGCGGACCGTTATGATACAATGCTATATTGATAAAAACGATACTGCACTATATAGCGTCTAGTTACTTTCTTTATCGTCTGGTCCAATGGAATGACGCTTGCGTTGTAGCGTAACGGTCTGGTTTCGATTTTTGGTATGCGCACTGCTGATGAGACCCAAATAGGACGAAACGGCCGTTCAGTGATTTCTGCATTCTGTTGAGAATTCTTCTAGATTCGATGAATTCTTATGTGCTATATATATATATATATATATATATCAAAGTGTAGGAGAACGAAGCGTTCAAAGCATTAATTTAAAAACAGTGCTCAATACATAAAGTAGAGCCGTAAATATTTATTTATATGATGCAGTGTTACATTAGAAGATGCACATATCCACTCCAAAATTGTACATCTTTATTTCAACGTCAAAAAAGGGAAAACTTTTTAGACGTCTCATCGTGATCACCGACCTGATGAGACGTTTAAGAAAAATTTTCCCTTTTTTGACGTTGAAACAAAAATGTACAATTTTGTAGTGGATATGTGCATCTTCTAATGTAACTACATAAATATATATATATATATATATATATATATATACCACATAACACCCTTGAGCGCTTAGCCTTGGAGCGGGGAGAATGGAGATCAACGTGTTTTAGTGGATTCAGCAATTTTCAATCTGCTTGTCTGAATCATCTTCAAGAAGTGAGAGCAAGATCTAAAAGGTCAGCCAATCTAACAGTGATCTCATCTCACAATCCTCACACTTGTTCCATATGTGGCCTCCTTTGTAAATCACTAGCGGGTCTTAAATGCCACTTAAGATTATCGCACAAACTCTCATAACTGAATCAATAAGCTGTCAGATCCTCATACGTCGAAACCGACAGGAGACTCCATTTTTATTTATATATATATATATATATATATATATATATATATATATATATATAATTTCAAACAGATAAAATCGCTTATTTTTTCTTTAAAACGTGACCGTTTTTCGGCCCAAACCTAAATAAAATGAGTGATAGAAAAAAAATGGGATGAAATGAGGAACTACGATTAAGATACAATTTAATACTAAAAAGGAAAGAAAAAATAAAAGTGAGGGAAAACTTAAAAAAAAAAACATTTCTAGTATAAAAAGGAAAATATAGACTCACAAGTCACCCAGTAAAGAAAGGAAACGAATAAATTTCTCTTTCTCTCATTATAATGACGGTCGGTGTAATTTAATATTTAATGCCTCTAAAGTGTGTAGATGTTTTACCCAAAATAGAAAACCACGAATCCCTATATTTGTACGCAAAACCGGGATTATCTAAAAGGTGGCGTCAGACATATATACGGCTTACCATACTTAATACTTCTCGTTTTCACTCTCGCGTGGTCATATATGACGTCACGAGCTGCGACGCGATTTTCGCTTCCGCGTCTCGTATACAGGAGTTAGTCGTTGCTGTGAAATTTTTCATGCAACAAAAACAGACTATCATTATTGTTTCGTCCGTGGACACTGAAGTCAATAACCAGAGGTGACAGTTCATATGTTGTTTTTTGCTCAAATATTTTTTATATCGGTCAGTGATGCACTGGAGATAACTGATAACTGATATCCATTAGACATGGCACGTGGAACTAGAACAGTCTAACCCAGTGAGCGAAATAAAGGGTTCAGTTCGACATTCCAACCAAGTGAAGAATGCCGGAGAGTACAACGGCCGAATTGTTGTAATATATATATATAACAACAAAGATGATGACAATAGTCCGAATAATGTAAATAGTGTAAATGAAATGAACTCTTGTAGAAATTCATTATTCATCACAATTTTTTTTTTAGACGATAATGTCCTTAATATATTTATCAAAAGCAGTTAGAATCTTAGAATGCGTGAGCTGTACTTGTGAGTACAATGTTTTTGTTTTTTTTTTGTATTTCTTTAGTGCATGAGCCACAAGGTATCTTAATAAATTTATAAAAAGCAGTTGGAATCTTTTCAAATTAAATAATATCATAGTTTTATCGCATGTTTTATGCTATGATTCAAAGCAAATTTTCGGTAAACGGTTTACAAAAAATTAAAATTGATGATTTACATTCTCCAAGGAGTCCTACTTTTAACTAAGAAAATATGAAGTGGGTGAAAATTGACAGATGTAAATATATATATATATATTCTTGCCGAGTTTTTCTTAAAAAAACACATTA